ACTGAGGGACTTACTGAGGATTGTCATCTCATTTATTCCTGAGAGATGTAGTTGCCAAAACTGGGTTTAGGAAGAGAGCTTCATCACAGCTCTAGACAGTACTACTCCTAGCAAGAGCTTGTTGACCCTCTTACCTTACTACTTGTGTCTTAAAGTTTTTGGAAGATAAAAAACCTCATCACAAGTGGCACATGTGTGTGTGTCCCTTTTCCTATTGAAGATGCAGGAACATAAGCAACATCTTCGGCCCCTTTGGCTTTGTCACTTCAAGAAAGGTACAAGCACAACTGCAAGGCAACAAAATGTTCATGGTGTATGTGGAGACATTGCTGTGAGTGATGGAATGTGTCAGAAGTGTTTGTGAAGTTTCATGCTGGAGATTTCTTGCGCACAGTTGGCACATGAGTCAGCAGACCAGGTACAGTGGAGAGCCATGGAGGGGAGATGTTCACTGAGGACAGACCACATTATGGCACACAGGAGACAGGCGGCTTACTCAGAAGATGGAAATCAAGTATCAAGAATTATTTGTACCACCACAGTGATGTTAATTGCATTGCTGTAGGGTTCCAAGCAGTGAAATGGGGTTCTGGGAGACCCCTTTTGACTGCATTTCTTGAGGCAGTTCTTTACTGAAACCTAAGGAAAACATTGTGCTTCAAAGACAAATTCCGAGGGGGGATGAACTGTTGATATGGTAGAATAATGTGGAATGGGAGAGTTGAGGGAAGGAAAGGGACCACCACCAGCAGCTCCTCCAAAGGCTTGTCTTTATCCAAAGGAGGTGATCTTGAGGATGTGGTGGATTCCCGAGGGTGTTGTGCAGTGGGAACTCCTTGCAGAAACCCAGCGGGTTCCTCCCATCAGAGCCACTGAAAGCCGCCCGTGGGAAAGCGTTCAGAATTTGTCAGCAGAAGACGCAGAAGGTGCAAGGCCATTTAGTTCAGTCTTTCCAAACTTGTCTTAATGGAGAGAAATTTCCATTCCCTGGAAGACTGCAGAAGGCACTTGGAAGAGTTCTTTGCCCTGAAAGAGAACAATGTTGTGGGATTGATGGAATGGTGAAGTTGCCTGAAAAGTTGCAGAGGGCAGTGGAACAAAGTGGTGACTATGTTGTCCAGTCACATCGCTGGGGGAGAATGAAAAGCGTGCCTGTCATGGCACCTGATGGTAAAAAGTGAAGTAACCTTTCTGCCAAGTTCGATGTGTTCCAAGTGTCAGTTTCTGCTGCCATCTCCTGGTCATTTTGGGGAATGACGCCTCAGTACAGGTCAGTAGTAAAAGTGGTTGATTCCAGTGGAATATCAATGACTTTTGATGGCAGGGTTATTTAAATTTAAATTTCTAAAAGTGTATTTTTATAGATTTTATTTATTGTTTACTTTTTTTTAAGAGAGAGAAGACGGGAGGGGGAAACAGAGGGACAGACACATCAGTGTATGGGAGAGAAACATTGATCGGTTGCCTCTCACATGCCCCCAACTGGGGACCTGGCCCAAACCCAGGCATGTGTCCTGACTGGGAATCGAACCAGTGACCTTCTGGTTTTCAGGCCAGCGCTCAATCCACTGAGCCACAACAGCCAGGGCTTGATGGCAGGGGTTTTTACAAGTGCATTTGAAAATGTCTAAATGTCAGGGCTGTCCATCTACCTTGTCACTGGTTTCCAGATTAACAGCCAGGAGAGCAATTAGCATGTTTTATGTGACATTTCTTGGATCTGGTTGTGTAGTGTGATAGAGTCAGGTTCTACAATTTCCAGGCGTGCTTGAAAATTGTAATTTGCTTTGTTGCAGCTTTCTTAAACCACGCAGAGGTAAAATTTATTTGAAATTCTCCACCAAGAGTTAAAAGAAAGTAAAGTAAAACAGAAGCACCGTCATTTCATGTGTGTGCCCCTACAGTCATGTTGATGGGCTTGTTTCCTCAGCTTTGCCTAGACTGACTTGACTGTTTGAAGTTCATTGTACCAGTAAAAAGCAAAGGAACCTTTTTGTGAAGCCAATAGTAACAGTGAGTTTCCAACTGTCGGTGTCTTCTGCCACCTCGTGGTCATTTCGGAGAATGACACCCCCGTTTAGGTCAGCAGGAAAAGTAGTTGATTCCAGTGGAATATCAATGGCTCTTTTGATGGCAGTGGTATTTACAAAACCATTAGAAAATGTCTAAATATCAGCACTGTCCAATTACCTTGTGACTGGTTTGCGGGTTAAGGGTAAAGGGAGCAAAGAATGCATTTTAAGTGATGTTTCTTGGAACTGCCTTTGTGGCATAATACAGTCAGTCTGTGACGAGTTGCAGGCATGCTTGGAAATATTTTGTAGTTTGTCTCTTCCAGCCTCCTAAACAGTGATAAAAGTAAAGTTTATTCAGTATTCTCTACCATGGTTTAAAATAAAAATAAAATACATAAAGAAAATGAAAGTGTCGCCGTTTTGTGCATGTGGGTTTAGGGACATGTCTTGGGGCTCTTTTTCTTTCTTTTTCTGCCTGGATCTTTCAGTATTTTAGTTTCTTCATGGGTACAGAAACTGGTACATTTCCAGTTTCTGTTTCTAACATGTGTATTTCTGGGTGAAAATTTCTTTCTTAAGTTGTGTCACATAGTATGTTGAGCATATTTCAGTTACAGTTATTTTGTATCTCAAAGAGTGGTGCACTTTGGAGATTATTTAGGTGTCTGTTTCATGAATACCAAACAACAGAACTTTCTGGTCACCCACCTTCAGTGAATTCTAGCTTCAGTGGTATGAGAGCAAAAAACACAGTGTGTATGATTTCCACACTGCAATGCTTGTTGAAGCCTCCTTTCACACCAGGTTGGCTAAAAAGTCAGTTCATTCCCTCACCACCTCCACCTTCACTCTCCCATCATGTGGACTCTGGTTCACATATTTGTCTTTAACTTTATTTGAAACCCTTTGGTTACATTGTATCATGACAGATGTCCTATCAGTGTGCATTAAAAAAAAACTCCTCAGAAGTGTTGAGTGTGTGCCATTTTTATATTGAAGATGGATGAATAGAAGTCATATTTTCAGTATATCACACTGTGGCATATCAAGAGAGTTAAATGTCAGTTGAATGGAATACCAGATTTGTGCCACGTAGAAGAAGGTATTATGGCAGCTTGAACGTGTCAGAAGTGGTTTGTAAAATTTCTCGTTGGAGATTTCTTGTGTGAGGGTTCCCCACACGTCAGATGGACCAGTCACAGTCGATAGCCATCCAGTCCAGACGTTCATCAAGGAGAGACCACATTATGCCATGCAGGAGACAGGCGACATACTCAAAACCCCTTTAGCAAGCATCAAAAATTATTTCCACCAGTGTGGTTACATTAATTGCTTTGATGTTTGGGTTCACAGAAGTTAAGGGGGGAGGAGGAAGGATCCCTGCCTGACCACATTTCGACATCAAATTGTCTGCTCATATGTGAGAAAAATGTTATGTTTCCAAGACATTGTGGACAGGGGGATGAATCGTTGATATTTGACACTAATGTGGAACGGGAGAGATCGTGGGAACATGAAGGGAGTGCCCTTCATCAGGGCCAGCAGCCACTCCGAAGTGTGGTCTGCACCCAAAGAAGGTGATGCTGTGGACATGGTGGGATCACTAGGGAGTCCTGTACTAGGAGCTCCTTGCCGTATACCAAGTGTTTACTTCCAAAGTACTGCTCCCCATTGGACCAGTGGAACTCACTGCCCCAGGGAAAGAGTCCTGAATTTGTCAGCAGAAGATGTGTCGTCAATCATCCATCAGGAAAAGGGAGAGAACAGGTTTCTCTTTGGTGACCAGGGGAAAACGGTTCCAGCCTGCCACGGCAGTCCTGATTCATCCACAGTACACACAAGACGTTGTATCCTCAGACTGCCAGGTATTTCAGCAGCCTTTCTTAAATTCTCTTAGTGGAGAAAATTTCCGGTCCCTGGAAGACTGCAAAAGGCACCTGGAAGAGTTCTGTGCTCCAAAAGATAACAATGTTGTGGGCAGATGGAATGGTGAAGTGGGCCGAGTGATAGCAGAGGACAATGGAAGTAAATGATGAAACCACAGACTACTCACATTATTGAGGACAATGAAAAAATGTGCCTGTCATTGCATCTTACTGGAAAAAGTGAAGGAACCTTGTGGCCAAGCCCACAGTACAATATGTTCTAAGCGTCGGTCTTTGCTGCCATCTTGTGGTCGTTTTGGGGAATGACATGTTAGTTTAGGTCAGCAGGAAAAGTGGTTGATTCCAGTGAAATATCAATGACTTTTGATGGCAGTGGTATTTACAAGTGCATTGGAAAACATTTAAATGTCAGGACTATACAGTTACCTTGTTACTAGTCTCCAGAGTAATGGCCAAGGGAGGAATAAGCGTGTTTATGGGACGTTTCTTGGAAGTGGCTTTGTAGCATAATACAGGGAGGTGTTTACAAGTGCCAAGTGTGCCTGAAAGTCGTTTGTAATTTGCTTTGTCTGTTGCAGCTTCCTAAAACAATGTGGAGGTAAAATTTATATATAATGCTGCTACAAGAGACACAAAAAAGCAAAGTAAAATACCAGCGCCATCATTGTCTGTACCTGCCCTTTGGGACATGTCTACAGTCTCGTTTCTTCCCTTTCCCTGGACTTCGTCTACTATTTTAGGTTCCTCACACGGGTGCAAAACATATGCATTTCCAGGGTCTGTTTCTAAGCTGTGCATTCAAAGGTGAAGATTTTTTTCTCAAGTTTTGGTATGGAGCATCTTTACCAGCACTCAGGTCCAGTTACTTTGTAATTCCAATGGCAGTTTATTTCAGAGGTTCTTTAGGAGTTTATTTCAGAAGTCCCAAAGAACAGAACTTTCTAGTCATCTATTCTCAGTGAATACTGCTTCAGTGCTATGAGGGCAAAAACATTTTGTATAGTATTTCGAGGCTGCGATGCTGGTTGAAACTTGCTTTAAATGGGGCTGGTAAAAATGTCAGTTCAGCCCCCCACCCTCTCCCACCGCCACACCCCACCCCATCACCTGGCTCTGGTCTCACATACTTGCCTTTACGTCATTTGGAACCGTTTTGTTAGAATGCATCGTGACAGCTGTCATACCAGCTTGCATTAAAGAAATCTCGTCACAACTGGAGAATGTGTCTGTGTGGCCATTTTCACCCTGAAGATGGAAGAACATAAGCAACGTTTTCAGCCCCTTAGACTTTATCATTTCAAGAAAGGTCCAAGTGGAAGTGTAAGGCAAAGAAAGATTTTTTGGAGTGTGTTCGGAGACATTGCTGTGAGTGATGGAACGTGTCACAAGTGTATTTTCAAGTTTCATTCCGGAGATTTCTGGTGTGCAGTTGCCCCATGGGTCCGGCAGACCAGTGGAAGTGGAGAGTCATCCATGGCAGATGTTTACTGAAGACACACCAAATGGCAGGTGGGAGACAGGCAACAAACTCAAAGTATCCTAACCAAGCATTGAAAATCATTTGCACCAGCACAGTTAGGTTAGTCTCCCTGATGTTTGGTTTCCACAGAAGTTAAGTGGGTAGAAGGAGGGAGCCATCTTGACCACATATCCACGTGTGGTTCTCTACTGAAATGTAAGAAAAACATTCCATTTCCAAAACAAATTGTGAGGGGTGATGAATGGTTGATGTGTTAGAATAATGTGGAATTGGAGAGATTCAGGGTCAGCAAAGAACCAACACCAGGCCCCTCCATAAGTTGGTCTTCATCTGAAAGAGGTGATGTTACCCTTCTGGTGGTTTCTGGAGGGGGTCCTGGAGAAGGAGTTCCTTGTAGAAAGCCGGCAGGTGACTTGCAACAAGCACTGCTCCAGGTCAGACCAACTGAAAGCACCGCCTGAGGGAATGAGTCTGGAATTTGTCAGCAGAAGCTTCATGATAAGGTGAGAATGCATGTTTCTCTTTGGTGACCAGTGAAAAAAGGTTCCAGCCTGGCTGAGCAGTCCCGATTCATCCGCAGTGCTCACCAGACCTTGCACCTTCACATGGCCAATTACTTCGGTCTGTCTGTACTTCTCTTATTGGAGAGAAATTTCCATTCTCTGGAAAACTGCAGAAGCCACCTGGAAGTGCTCTCTGCTCCAAAAGATAACAGAGTCGTGGGACCGTGGAATGGTGAAATTACCTGAAAGGTGGCAGAAGGCAGTGAAACAGAACGGTGACGACCTTGTGCAGTCACCCACCGTGTTTGAGGGAAAATGGAAAGTGTGCCTGTCATCGCATCTCACAGTTAAAAGTGAAGGAACCTTTCAGCTGAGCCATTTGTGGGTCCTAAGTTCCAAGTGTCTGTCTCTGCTGCCATCTTGTGGCTATTTTGGGGAATGACACCTCAGTGCAGTTCAGCAGGAAAGGTAAATTGTAGTGCAATATCAATGGCTTTTGAGGGTAGTGGTGTTTCCAAGTGCATTCCAAAGCGTCTAAATGTCAGCACTGTCCAGTTACCTTGTGAGTGGTGTGCAGGCTAATTGCTTTGTCTGTTGCAGCTTCCTTAAATAAGGGGAAAATACAATTTATTCAAAATCCTCCATCCAGAAATAGAATACAATAAAATAAAATAGAACAGAATAAAATAACATTACTGTCATTTCATGTGCGTGCCCTTCTGGACATGTCTATGCTCATATTCCCTCCAGTGTGTCTTGGCTTCATTTACTCTTTTCAGTTCCTAAAATGGGTGCAACTCTTGTACAAATTGGAGGTTTTGTGACTAACCCATGTGTTCAAAGATACAGATTTTATTCTTAAGTTTCAGTGTGTAGTATGTTTAGCATCTTTCAGTTCAAATTATTTTGTAACTCACATGGTGGTTCATTTTGGAAGTTCCAAATAGTTATTTTGATTCCTGATTTCCTTCATTTCACTGTTGGTTCCCTGAATATTTCCCTTTATTTCACTTTTGGTAGTCTTCATTCGTTCTTTCATTTTGTGACCAAACTCCATCAGTTCTGTGAGCATTTTGATTACCAAGGCTTTGAACTCTGCCACAGATGAGTTGGCTATCTCATCACTTAGCTCCTTTTCTGGAGTTTTGCTCTGTTCTTTCATTTGGGCCATATTTTTTTTTGTTTGGGCGCACCGGTCCAGTTGGTCTGGTTGACTGTTTCGTTAGTTCTTTGGTTGTCAGAATGCAGTTTGCTTTTCGGGCAGTTCTGGTTGTTTATTGATTTTAGATTGGTTGTTATCCTCCTTTTGGTTGTGCGAGGAAGTGAAGATTTTCTAGCTATGCCTCCACCTTGGCCAGAACCTCAAAGAATCTGACTTTAAAAAAAAACTTGCTCCATAGTACAATATAGTCAATGAAAACAAAACAAAACGAAACAAAAAACCAGTTCCAAGCTTGGTTGTCTTCTGCCATCTCTTGTTCATTTTGGAAATAATGGTTTAGTGCTGGTCAACAAGAAAAGTGGTCGGTTCTGGTGGAATGTCAATGACTGTTGATGGCAATGGTATTTAGAAGTGTGTTTAAAAATGTCCAAGTTTAAGCACTGCCCAGTTACCTGGTTTCCAGATTAGGGCAAAGGAAGCAATAAATGTGTGTTATGTGCCATTTGTTGGAACTAGCTGTATAATGTAACAGAGTCAGGTTTTTAGAAGATCCAAGTGTGCTTGAAAATTGTAGAAGATCTAAGTGTGAAAAGCACATTTGTAATGTGCTTTGTTTGTTGCATCTTCCTTAAACAATGAGGAAAGTAAGATCTGTTTAAAATGATTTTTGCCCTGGCTGGCATAGCTCAGTGGATTGAGTGTGGACCTGGGAACCAGAGTATTGTGGTTCGATTCCCAGTCAGGGCATATGCCTGGGATGCAGGCCAGTTCCCGTCAGGGGGCAGACAGGAGGCAACCATATATTGATATTTCTCTCTCTCTCTCTCCTTCCCTTCCCCTCTAAAGATAAATAAATAAATTTAAAATCTTTAAAAAAATAAAATAAATAAAATGAATTTTAACCCAAGAGGTTAAAAAAATAAAACACTATCATTTTATACATAAAAATCAAAGGAACCTTTTGGCCAAGCCACTAATACATGTCCCAAGTGTGCATCTCTGCTGCCATCTCGTGGGATGTTTGGGGAATATCATCTTAGTGCAGGTCAGCAGGAAAAGTCGTTGATTACAGTGGAATATCAGTGACTTTTGATTTTTTTTTTAAAAGACTGTTTCGAGGTACAAATCTCAGGTTCCAATGTCAGTGACCAGTTCCCTGGAACCACTTTTTATGAGCACATCACCTGGACCAGACACCGGATTTGGGGTTCACCATTGGTTTTTTAATTATATCTTTAATTATTCTTGGAATATATAAAAGATACTTACTTATGCATGTTATTTACCAGACAATTTACTAAATTGTATTATTTATAATACCTTTAATTTGATATTCATGAGTTGTCAAGATAAATAAGATGTCATGCAATAATAAAATTACATTAGTTTAGCTGTATAAGGCATGAAAAATAGAGCTTGGAATAAAACATGAATATATGAAGAGTTAAAAATGTGCTAGTTATAAGTTCATTAATAATTAGATAAAATAGTAACATGCTTCTTAGCATTGTAAATGAGTTCAGGGCCTGGAGCAGTGGTGTTCTAGAAATCAGAAGTACTTTGTAAGTAAAACTGTGCCCCTTGTAGGTTACCCGAGGAACTTACAATGTGGCAAATGTCCACATTTTCACAAGGGAGAATTCTGGAATGTAAAAGGGTAAGATTGTAGATTCTAAGTAATTTTAAGAAACAAGTATTGAAGAGTGATTTATGGTCAATGCAAGGAGACAGTGACCCTCCGTGCTGTGGTTTGTCACAGTGTGGTGCAGTCTCTTAAGGTGTCAGATCTTCCTTGGGTTCTGAGTTTCCCTGGGTGTCTTCTTAGCCAGGGACATTCCTCCCTATACTTTGCAAGATGACTGACAATTTCATTTATGTCTTGTTGTTGTTGTTTACCTCTCAGCCTCCAGGTTGCCTGTCCAGAGAGAGGTGTGATTTCAGATCTAGGGTGCAAAGTCACATGCTGTTTGTATTCTAACGGACTCTCCATCCTGCTCCATAGAGAGTAGGGTTTCTCATTGCTATGGATAATATTTTCTCCTGAGGGATTTTTCTCCACGTTGTAGGTGCTTATTAGTAATCCTCCCCTCTGTTCAGTGCATGCCAGCAACTCCCAACTTAACCCCACCCCAAGGACAATCTGAAAGGTCTCCATACAATGTGCCAAATGTCCCCTTGGGGGAAAAGTCCACCTGAGGTAGAAAACCACTGAGCTTGAAGCTGTGATCATCTTTGGAACCTGAGTGATCTGTCCTTGGTAAGAAGTGTTTTTTCTATCATTCCATGCAAATTGTTTCCTAACTCCAATTGTGATTTATTTTTTGGTGGTTATTTAGAAGTGTATTTCATAATTTGTAAATATAAGTACTACTAGGTACGTGTTGTTACTGATTTCTTGATTAATGTCAGTGAGCGCAATAAATATATACATGTTTATAGATACACATGTGTGTGTGTGTATAAATTTCAGTTCTTTAAAGTTTGCTGGAACTTGCTTTATATCACAATATGGTCAGTTTTAAAAAAAATTCTCAGGCAGCTTGGAAAGCATCTGTAGTTTGCAGTTTTGGGGTGCAGTGAAGTACTTATGCACAATGAATGCCATTTGCCTCTCATGTTATTTAAAAAATATTTTTACTATTTTTGTGGGCTTATTGGTTCTGAAATATAACCTGAATGATAGAGGTTGGTTAAATCTCCTATTATGATTTTTAATTGGCAGCTTTATTCCATATAGTTTCGAGTTTATGTTATTAACTGAATAAAAATTTGGAACTGACTGGTACATTGAACTTACTGATGAGAAGTACTCATCTTTATTTGTAGTAGTGGTTCATTTTTTGCCTTCAAGTCTACTGTATGTTATATAGTTTTCATTTGGTTCATGTTCATATAGTATATTTTTCCCATCCTTTCACTTTAGATCTCTCAGTATGTTTTAGATGCTCTCAGTGTTTTATGTTAGTTCTGAGTGGCTACTGAAATCAATTCAAGAATTGATTTTGGTGGAGGATGTAATGTAGGGGGCCCAACATTTTTCTCATTCAGCTGTTCCAACATCTTTTATTACACCTCAAATATGTTCCCACAGATCTAAGGA